GCGCCTACGAATCTGGATGTCAAGTCTTTCCTGGTCTGCATTTCTCCACCTGTTCATTTTCTGGCCAATGTATATTCATGATGGATTGCAGGCATTTGTTTACAAATATTTGGAAATTATTAGAGCTTGATTTAGTTGTTCTCTATGTTTTTGAGCCATACAGGAGGACAGACTTCAAATTGATGTTAAAAGTGAGTGTCCATTGAATGCCTTTTTGATGGTGTTCTGTAGTCTGCTGCATTATCCAATCAATTGCTAATTGGAACAGGAAGAGTGATAGTAAACAGCCTTGGTGCACTCCTGTCAGCATCTCTATGTTATGTGAGAGATTTCCGTTGTGGATTACTCGACATATAATACACTTTTCATTAGGGTGATATCTTTCTCCGGGATACCATAGTGGTGCATCAACTTCCACAGCACTTCTCGATCAATACTGTCAAATGCTTTCTCATAGTCGACAAAGGTTGTGTATATTGGAGAGTTCCATTCAAAGGACTGTTGCAACTATAATCCGCAAGGTGACAATTTGATCAGTACATGAACGATCTTTATGAAAACCTGCTTCTTGATCTCTTAGTTTCTTGTACAATTCTGTTTTTAATCGCTCCAGGATTATTCTATTTAGAACTTTGCCAGCAGTTGATAGCAGCATGATTCACCTCCAGTTTTTTATATTCTTTCAGGTCCCCTTTTCTTTGGGAGCTTTATCATGTAGCCTTCTTTCCAATCATCTTGTATTCATTTGTTTCACAGATTTTTCCAAACAATCTGTACAGCATCTCCGTCGATGAAGTAGTTTCTGCTTTGATGACTTCTGATGGTACGCCATCTGGCCCAGCTGCTTTCCCATTTTTCAGGTGGTTTATGGCATTCTTGATTTCTGTTCTACTTGATCTGTCCTCTTTTACTTGTAGAGGGGTTTCACCTGCCTCTATATAGGCCATATCAGTGGGTGGAGGCCTATTGAGCAATTCCCTAAAATGCTCAGCCAAACTCTTCACTTGTCCTGTAAGTACCCTACCGCTCTTTTCTTTCACTGGTCTGTTTGGTGTGCGACTTCCTGAGAGCTGCCTTGTTATGGTGTATAACTAGCGTGGTCATCTATAAGGATTCGCTTATCTTTCCTGATGCTCCGCTTGACTTCATTGTTGGCTTCTGAGTATGTGTTTTGCTTCTTCTTTCGTTGTTCTGGTTCCACTGCGATTTATTTCTGCTTTTCTCTCTTTTCTTGCTTCAACCTTTCTTATTGTGTCTATACTTATGTAGGCCTCCTTGTGCCCTTTGGTTTTCCTTCCCAGTGTTCCTCGCATGTGTCTTTCCATATATCTTTGATATGTTTCCACATTTGGTTGATTGAAGTAGAATTTTGATCCTGTAGATTCTGAGTCAATTATTTTTTGACTACATGTGGATAAATATTATAATTTTTATTTTCTAAAATTTAATCTAAATTAAATAAACATATATCAATGAGATTTTATCTGTATAGTTATTGTTTCCATGTTTATGAAGTTTGTGTGTAATTTCGGAAATGATTCGATATCAACCAAATATACACTGCACTTACTGTATTCACACACCGTATTATATACAATGCCGTAGCCAGCTATTAGGACAGTTGGGACAGTCCCAAAAACTGTCTTTCATTTGTTTCACAAAGAACGGGTCCACATTTTTAAAAATGGGCCCAAATTATGCAATTTTATGCATAAAATGAGTTCACTTTTTAAAAAATGGGTCCAGATTTCTTATATTTAGCCTTGACTTACTTGACTTATTCCCTTTAGCTCCCTGTGGAGCATACAGTAGGTCGTTGGAAATAATACGCCATCACACTTTGTTTTGAACTATTGTTTCAATCTGCTTCCAGGAGTACCCAGCCCGTTTTGACTCTTCATTCACAGTTCTTCTCCAGCTATTTCTGAGACGACCTCGACTCCCCTCCTTCCTTGCGGATTCCATCTCAGAGCCTGTCTGGTGCTATTATTGGGTTGTTTCCTGAGTGTATGTCTAATCCATCCCCACTTGCACCTACGAATCTGGATGTCAAGTCTTTCCTGGTCTGCATTTCTCCACCTGTTCATTTTCTGGCCAATGTATATTCATGATGGATTGCAGGCATTTGTTTACAAATATTTGGAAATTATTAGAGCTTGATTTAGTTGTTCTCTATGTTTTTGAGCCATACAGGAGGACAGACTTCAAATTGGTGTTAAAAGTGAGTGTCCATTGAATGCCTTTTTGATGGTGTTCTGTAGTCTGCTGCATTATCCAATCAATTGCTAATTGGAACAGGAAGAGTGATAGTAAACAGCCTTGGTGCACTCCTGTCAGCATCTCTATGTTATGTGAGAGACTCGACATATAATACACTTTTCATTAGGGTGATATCTTTCTCCGGGATACCATAGTGGTGCATCAACTTCCACAGCACTTCTCGATCAATACTGTCAAATGCTTTCTCATAGTCGACAAAGGTTGTGTTCCTCGCATGTGTCTTTCCATATATCTTTGATATGTTTCCACATTTGGTTGATTGAAGTAGAATTTTGATCCTGTAGATTCTGAGCGTTTTCTAGCAGGTCTTCCACCTTTTGGTACTTGTTGGAGATTGTCAGCTGAAATATATTTTTTGTCTCATCGTCCCGTATCATATCAGTATTGTATTTGCAACTACATTTTTTGGCCCAGCATTATAATTATTCAGACTAAAACGGAATTTGCCACTTAGAAGGCTCCTCTCATGACTCTTACGTCCAACAGTGACCTTCTGAATTTAGTTGACACACAGATGTGATCGCAGGGGCGGATCTGGGATTTCAAAGAGGGGTTCAGAAAGTTCCCAAAAAAACCCAAAAAAGAAAGGGGGGGGGTCCTCCCCCGGGAAAATTTTGATTCCTAGGTGGCCGGAAATGAGCTTTCCCGACTTCTGAGGTGTCTTTTAATGACCTTTTAAGTTCTTCAAAATTCAAGGTTTTCCGTCTCTTGAAAAAGCTCAGGTAATTTTATCTCATTCTTAGGCCTATACATAAAGAAAAAATAAATAAATAAAATACATATGTGACCCAAGACCACGAAAGGGCTGTAAACTCGCATCACCTGCAAGTTTCGATAAAAGGGCTAAATAGACAGTATAACATGTAATTTGAGCAAAATGTGATTATGTCATAAATATAAAGTATTACCTTTAATCTCATTTTTGAAATTTGGGTTCAATATTCCAAATCTAAACCCTAAAATTTTTGAAATAAATTCATCAACTTTCAAGCCGCCATACTTCTAAACAACTTATTCACTACACAAAATTCAGGCCCCAAAATAGATAAATGAAAACTATCAGATATAATAATACGTTTATTGGTACTCGTATGCTATGTATGTGATTTCAGAATAAACAAACAGTATAGTTATAAAATAGTAGAATGGTCACAGAGGGCCAGGTTAGACTTATTGAGAACATTTCGGTTCTTTGTAGTGAAGTAAATCTAAAACGTATTCTTGAAGTCATTCAAAATCGTGTACAAAATAGTTGAACAAACTTTAAAGTATGTTCCGAAAGTATTGTAATGCATCGTACTGTGGTACGAAGCGTATGTAAATGTATACCTAAATGAATGAAATAACCTTGAATTAATTCAAATAATTAACTGTTTCATGACTTGTTGGAAAAGATTTGGAAAACAATCTTCTTGCCGTCTGGCAGTGGTTGCGGTTGTGATTGCGGTTGAGTACGTGTTAACAAACTAGTCGTGGTTATTACTGACGCCAACAGAACAATCATCTGCTCTATTTAAATATTAAATAGTGTACAAAATAATCAAACAACTTTAAAGAATCAAACAATTACATGCGTGTCGACATTACAATTGCTTAATTAGAAATTTGTAATTTTTTAGACCAAAGCCAAGTAATTTTCTAGAGAAAAGCACCATGATACGGAAATGTTATTTCATTTTTGTGTATATATTTTCAAAAGTAATTTTCTAGAGCATAGCACCATGGTACAGACTATCTTTACTGAATGAAGAAAATAACCTTGAAGTAATTCAAAAGATACGAAGCAGTTCTTGTCTTGCTTTGGAAAAAAAAATGATCTTGCAGTGAAGCAATTCATGTTGTACAGTATGTCAAAATATTAAAATGGTATCAAAATAATAGTGTTGTTTTTAGTCACGGGAATTCAATACAGAAATTCAATACAAACAAAATGATATTTGCTACACTTCTGTATAATAATGTTACGTTTCTTCACAGAGTGGGGTTCGTCCGAACCCCTTGAACCCTTGAACCACCCCCCCCCCCCGGAATGTGAAATCTTGCGGATATGGTTCTCGATGATATTGGATTCCCATTCTATGAGTGATTTGGCAGCCTATTTTGACAGCATTACTCCAACTCTTGTACATGGTGCGTCTGTATCTTCATGTCCAGAATAAATGAGAGTCTGTCTTGGAGACAGTCTTATACAGCCAGATTCGATCCACTTAGTCTCACACAGCCCCAATATCGAAAGCTTGTATGCAGTCATCTCAGCGGCAATCTGTGCTGATTTACCTGTTTCGTACATGGTCCTAACGTTCCATGTACCAATCAGTGTGATTGCCTTGGGAGGAAGCAGGGGGATTGGCATAGCTGCTTCCTTCTGGCTTTTACTGCTACGCTTCATACTTGCCCTTGCCTAATTGGGCACCTGCTTCTCTCAAGACGAGTTTAATTTTGTGTTTATTTCCTAAGGTTTTGCAGTCCCATACTTTCCCGTTGCCCGGTTACCACGAAATGGACATGGGGTGTGTGTTGAGCCTAAAGTGGTTAAAATGTTAAGAAAACGGGTCCCGATTTTTCATATTTTTGCGTAAAATGGGTTAACTTTTAAGAAAATGGGTCTACATTCAAACGGGGCGCTTAAGACAATTTTCACATTCGCGCGAGTACGGTAAGCTATATCTAAACACGTTTACTTTTAAAAGTGTCACCAAAGACGGGACAACATTGCGTGGAGCTTGTGTTGAAATCCTCCACGCTGTTTTTACAGTTTAAGTTTTCAGACAAGACCTTGCTTGCTTTAAAACTCTGTATGCTCCATTTTGTTTGAACAATTAGGCTTTTTGATTTAATACTGTTCCTTTCAATTGTAGGGCCAACACTCTATTCTGACACCAATTGTTATGCTGACTTAAATTACAGACACGGAATACATTTTGTAAGTGCACTTGTGACGGACTAGTGGTGACACCATGATTGAGCGGTACTAACGGATAATGGTAAGGAAAATAATATAATAGATTAATTGCTAACTTTTATTTAACTGTTGGAGAGATATCTCAACAAGATATATATTATTACCTGAGATATCTCTATTATTATATAAGACATCTCTATTTAAATCTAAGCTAGTTTTAAATAGAGATCTCAATTGTAGATAGAGATATCTTAGTTTTATATAGGGATAAAAAAAATATTGCAGAACGTTATATTATAGATGACTAATACTACAAGGTCATATAAAAGTTTTACTAATAATTTGGATTATAATTTCCAGACTCGGTGCATTTCTACGTTGTATGCAATCCCAAATCAACAACTGTTTGAGAGATATCTCAAAAAGATATATATTATTAACTGAGATATCTCTATTATTAAATTAGACATCTCTATTTAAATCTAAGCTAGTTTTAAATAGAGATTTCAATTGTAGAAAGAGATATCTTAGTTTTATATAGGGATAAAAAAATATTGTAGAACGTTATATTATAGATGACTAATACTACAAGGTCATATAAAAGTTTTACTAATAATTTGGATTATAATTTCAAGACTCGGTGCATTTCTACGTTGTATGCAATCCCAAATCAACAACTGTGAGATTGTTTTTCTTGCGCGCGTGCATGGTACTACAGGGTCAAGGTGGTATACTGGTCTTAATAAAAATTTGATAATTTAATTATAGTGTTTATAATTTCAAACGGCTTACTGCGTTATACGTAGTTCCAAATGTTGTGAAATTGACTTTTGTTGCGCGCATGATGCATGATATTACAAGGTCAAGTTTAAATACAAGTGCTACAAATGATGAAATGATAAAATAAATATTGATTAATTTGGAATTGTTAAGCGCATAGAGTTTTAGATATGCGCTATATAAATATACAATAATAATAAATATACAATAATAATACATGATGTTTATAATTTTAAAACGTGGCTTACAGCGGTTGTATTTATAGTCCCAAATCCACGTATGTTGTGAGATTTTTATTTAATGCGCGTGTGCATGATACTACAAGGTCAAGGTCATATACAAGTTTTACTTATAATTATGGATTATAATTTTAAGACTCGGTGACTTACCGTGCTGTATGTAGCCGAAATCAGCGTATGTTGTGCGACATGTCTTATTGCACGTGTGCATGATACTATACAAGGTCAAAGTCCTATACAAGTTTTACTAATAATTTGGATTATAATTGTCAAATCGGCGGCTTACTGCGAGATGTGAGATTTTTTTTGTTGCGCGTGTGCACGATATTACAAGGTCAATGTCATATACAATCTACTAATAATTAGAATTAGAATTTTTTAAACTCGGTGACTTGCTGCGTTGTATGTAGAGTCTAAAATCAAAGTATGTTGTTAGATTTTATTTTGTTGCGCACGTGCATGATACTACAAGTTCACTATAAAAACTCCCTGGTTATAGGCCTACATCATAAGACAACGTTCAGATTTGAAGATTAAGCCTGGCTCAAGGTTAAGCCCCGCTTAACCGAGGCAATCCAACAATCGTTGACAAATCAGTAAGCCCTGGATTTGAAAATGATAGCATAATCCATATTATTAGTAAACCTAGTATTATGACCGTAACCTTGTAGCATTAGTCGTTCATAACATGCACAATTCTACAATATTTTCTTTATCCATTAAAAGTTATATAATTAACGAGACCGTGTCATTACAAAGTGCGTAGACTTTATTACAAAGTTCGACAGCTCAGTTTATTACAAAGTGTGACATGCAGTTATAGGTCAAGGTCATATACAAGTTTTACTAATAATTATGGATTATAATTTTAAGACTCGGTGACTTACCGTGCTGTATGTAGCCGAAATCAGCGTATGTTGTGCGACATGTCTTATTGCACGTGTGCATGATACTATACAAGGTCAAGGTCCTATACAAGTTTTACTAATAATTTGGATTATAATTGTCAAATCGGCGGTTATAGGCCTACATCATAAGACAACGTTCAGATTTGAAGATTAAGCCTGGCTCAAGGTTAAGCCCCGCTTAACCGAGGCAATCCAACAATCGTTGACAAATCAGTAAGCCCTGGATTTGAAAATGATAGCATAATCCATATTATTAGTAAACCTAGTATTATGACCGTAACCTTGTAGCATTAGTCGTTCATAACATGCACAATTCTACAATATTTTCTTTATCCATTAAAAGTTATATAATTAACGAGACCGTGTCATTACAAAGTGCGTAGACTTTATTACAAAGTTCGACAGCTCAGTTTATTACAAAGTGTGACATGCAGTTATTACAAAGTGCGACAGTCTGATGTTACAAATTGCGACAACAGTTATTACAAAGTGCAACAGGTTATTACAAAGTGTGGCTACTTTGTTAAGCGCGACAGTACAGGCAACCCGCATATAAGAGGACCCCGGAGATTTTTGGACGATATTTGTATGTCAGGCGTGTAAGACGATCCCCTGTTTCATCTTCGCAGAATTCCTTTTTTCTGCGTCTTGATACTGCATCTAGCTGGCTAAAAATGGAGCGAAATGCAAGGCTAAATCTTCCAAAATAATTCAATTTTATGAGTTTTTAAATGATTATCAATATTTTACTTCCTATTATTTAAAATTGTGTTCTTTCAAGCAAATGTAATATGTTAAATTATAGTTTATACACTTTCTAAGTGATTGTTGTTTAGCTTTGTAGTGCCTTCTAAGTAAAAAGGAATGTACTTCCTACCAGCAGGCCGATGAACCATAACAGGTTCCATATGCATAGTGGTAAAGTAGCAGAAAAACTGTCTCCATAGATGTATGATGTATCACTGTCTGAAGTTTAGTAATTGGGTGGTATGCTAATTACAAGTAGATATACCCAATCAAAAGTCAGTGAACTAGGGCAGGGCTCCGGTGTACATTGCAACTTATATAGTATCATTACTGTAACAGCATCTCGATGCATCATACATAATTCTAATTTCCTCACCCAACCACCCCAACTTCTTCCCATCTAACATACTCAAGACTAGTGCTACTCACTGGTGGCTGGTATAATTCTTGGCGAATTATTTCGCCCCAATTCAATAATGCAGGTTTCTATGGACATTTAATCCTAAAGTTAATAACAATAGCCAAGGAGATCTCCCTCGTATCTATTCTGTTCTATCGGGATCTCCCCTGAGTCTCATAAATACAAATAACCGACACCACATGAGTAGCCCCCAAGATGCCAAAGAATTAGTATATTTAGAATAATTTGTACTGTATAACTATGTAGTACTTCAGTAGTATAAGAATAATAGACAGTAGTGTTTGAATAATGTAGTGAATAAACTTAAATCGTACTTTATTCCTTGTGTTGTGTATAAATAATAATAATAATAATAATAATAATAATGATAAAAATAATAATAATAATATTAATAATAATATTAATAATAATAATATTAATAATAATAATATTAATAATAATAATATTAA